TTGCTTTCCCTGTTAAACTGTCTTTATCTCAACCCACGAGTTTTCTCACTTTTACCCTTCCAATTCTCTCCCCTGGGGGAGTGCGCGAGCGGCTGTGTGGTGCTCAGTTGCTGGCTGAGGTTAAACCACAACACAGGGATTTACTGAATAAAATACCTGCCTTAAATAATTCACAAATTTGTGGAGCGCCTTAATGGGAGAAGGCATATTATTTGCAGTGGCACAAGAGAAAAATGGAGATACTTTAGAAACAATCACAGTGGCTTTTTTTACTGTAAGTAGGGCTCCTAGGCACAGGCAGTAGTACAAATACTAAGTATTATAGTGCTGCTTAAGCATTGTGCTTAAAGTAAAGGGTATATGGGAACACAGCTGTCACCAGTGTGAGTGGAACAGTTACTTAACAGCACACAGCATCACTGGACAATGATTTAAAACAGAAAATAAAGAACTCTACCGACCAATTGATACGGAAATTGCAGTGGAAATGTGGAATGCATGTATTCCATACTTCGGTCTAGCGAGGAGACTAAAATGAACACTTCTAGTGTGATAGGATAGGTGTGATGTCTTTAAAAATACAAAAAGAGTTAGCTGAAATACTAAACCACCAGCAATATATCTCTTAGTGTCAGTAGTCTTTTGGCTGAGTACTGACATGATAAAGAATAATTTTACCTACTGTGTAGCCAGCTCATATTAAATGACATTCAAGAAGTTTCTCAAAAAATGTAGCTATCTCAAGCGTGAAATTTTTTTCTGGGTAGCCTATACTCATAGTGGCTTTATTCTTCATTAAAGCATCTGACAGCTTTCACCAGAAGATGTGATATCAATATGCAATTTATCCTTTCAAAGCCTTTGGGATGATCAGTCTATTTCTTTGCCATCCCTAATTAAACATACTGCTTCTGTAATTCCCAGGGGCAAGGAGGCATTGCGACTACACTGAAATGAAAATGAACTTTGTAGAACTACGGCTACACCGTCTGTGATTATGATTAATGTATTCTATGATTGTTGTTTTGGCCATAAGTTTTTAGCTGTTTTATTAAAGATATTGTGAGGAAGCATACAGAGACTAGCCACAGATTTTATTTCTTGGCAAGGTGGAAGAAATCTGAGGGGGTTTTAACACAAATTTGGTTCAAATGTAGCAAGCTGATGGAGATCTTAAATGTGATCTCTGATCATTCAGCCTTTGGAAGGCCACTAATAATGATGATAAGTGAGGGTCTCTGTTCCAGCCAACCATTTCCTAGAATAAGGATCAAATAAAATCCTTCATATTTAACTGTTTTGGAAAACAGGCAGCAGCCCTACAATGACCGTGGATTGAGGCACTTGGCAAGAGATACTTGGAGTCAGCACAAAAATTTTCTTATTTAGCTATTAGTTAGGACACATCTCCTACCTGCCTTAAGCATACAGGTCAGTCCGAGTGGCCAGAGAGAAGGTTGCTTTCAAGATGTACAGGTTATCTTCTTTTCCGTTGTCTTTGGTAATGTGGAAGTGGGTCAGGATGGGTTGATTTCTATCATCCATTCTAATCATGATTTTAAATAATCATTTTTCATCTGACTTTGCAAGTGCGCTTTTTTTGCATTCTGAAAAAGAGGTGATATTCATTAGCATATTTCATTATGCCAGCCAAAAGGGTATACTATCTATACACTTAAGTAATCATAGTGCTTAAGTGTTTGACTTTTTACACTTACTTTATATTAAAAAATGGTGAACAATGCATTTCTTGCTAGCTGATACTTCTTTATGCAGCATTGTGCAAGGCTGGATTTGGGTAGAAGTTTAAATCCATTTAAAATACACAATCAGCATTTTAAAATAGTCGTTAATTCAATTTAAAAATTAAATACACCGAACATGAAAATATGCTTAGCAAAACATGGTTTATATTGAAAGCCAGTTGATTTAGTAAGTAAAGGAACCATTACATACAGAAAATTAACTGATTATGATTTTTCTAATCAGCATGCCTTTGCCTTCCAGAATTACAACCAGGAGATCTTATCCTTCACATTTGTTTTTAAAGGGTTACCTTACTAATCCTTTTACAAAGTGTAGGATTTGGAGGACTACATCCCAAACTGCAAGACAGTAAAATGAGAGCTCTGGAGGGAATGCAGTGTGTCTCACCGTGCCTCTGATCTCCTTGTTTGCTTAGGATGTAAACCGTTTCTTGAAATTCAGTGAAGCTAAAACAATTCATTGAAAAATGACTGGAAATGAGTGAAGTCTGCAGATGTTAACGGCTTATTTACTTCTGCAGTAACATTAAAGAACACTAATCAAGAACAGAAGCAGGTTGTTCTCCAGGTTGTACAAATATCATAGTCATTTGGAGCAGCTGTAATAAAATGCCTTGTTGTCAGGGAGCAAGGTAAGATAGACAAACAAGGTTTTTCAGCCATTAGTTTTCAGTCAAGTTCTAAGTGACAGTAATTAGCCGTAGTATCTTTTACATGTCAAATGAGAGAATATAGTTGATAACAGACGTTGCCTCCATACTTCATGCTAACAGTATTTTTTAAACTTGAAGAAGTAATTGTAAATCCTATGATAATACAAATTATGGCAAAACCAAATGTGTTCAGATACATTGTAAAGACATTATCTTGATATTCCAGTTAGTTTTAGGATTACTATTTATCTTGTCAAGGCTATTTCTACAGGCTTTTTCTTTTTTCTGCCTCATTTTGCCTTTTTTCTTTCCCAGTTCTCTTCTCATAAGTTGAAATATTTTTTCGCGAAGTACAGCTGCCATACAGGCTTTCCCCTAAAGCCAAAACACTACTTCAGCTAAATTATTTTCATGACCTAGGTATTGGTCAGTAATGTACAGGTGTGGCTGACACAGAGGAAATTGCTGATGGTTGCAGTGAATTGTGTATCATTAGAGCTGTAGTTAAAACCTGTAAAACCGATTCCTCACAGAATGCTTTAGGTCAGTAACTTGGAAAAGTTCATGTCTGGTGAAATATATAATTTGTCAATCTTACTTTTTTTTGACACCACTAAGAGTAAGGCATTAGTTCCTTCTTAGGACTGCATTAAAGGCAGTTCATGATGATAAAGTTCCATAAACATAGCTAGTCTCTCTTCACAGAAACCTGTCTTGCACTTCATTTTCCTTAGCGTTTTCTTGAAGTAAGAAGGCCTCACTCTTATTACTAAGATGTTGCTGAACCCACATATGTAGTATTGATTTTCAGTAAAATTTAGTAACCTCTTCCTTGCTTCCTCTTTTTTATATTGTCTGAGAAAAATCTGTCTAGCTCAGTATGTCCCAATAAAGCCTGTAACATTTACTTCTATAGGTCTGTTTTCCTTTGTCTTCTCCTAATGTCTTTTCCTCCAGTCTGGAGGCTGTTGTTCTGCAGCTTGCCTGCTGCTTGTTGTCAGCTTGCATCAGACTGATGGATCTCTGGGAAGGAAAGGCAGGAGCTCTTAGTGAGCCTCTCTTCACCTCATCTGTGCAGCTAAAGATTTGACAATCACTTCCCTGAGATGGGATGAAACCGTATTTTTGAGAAACATGTAAATTTACTGTTTTATGTACGGAACTCTTGATAAGGATGTACATTACAGCATGCTCGTAAGATTAAAGGCAGTACTTTGTCTTGTGCACAAGCAAAAAAGCAGAGTCCTGAAAAACGTCTGAAGAAGAAAATTATTATAATAGGCTTGATGTTTGTTTTGATGTTTCTGTTTAGGTGCTGACCCCAGCACAAATAAAATCAATTTGCCTGGCCATACTAGAATCAGGAAAGCAGTACGCAGTGAAGAAGAGGAAACCATTCCCACTCATGTATTCCTACTATGGAACGGAGTATCTTGGTGAGTAAAACACACCAACTATTTTGAAAGTGATGCTGTGTGTGGATGCTGAGCCAGTACATGCTTCAGAAATAAAATATATAAAACCTACAGTGTGGGATTTCTCCTGACTGAGTTGGGACCATCCAACCTCCTAAAACTGCTAAGTGGGACTGAAGAGCTGGAGGGAAGGACTGATGCTGCCTAGTGCTGGGGAACGCAAGAGGTGCCTCTGCTGCACCAGGGGAGCAGCAGGCAGCAGCTTCATTCCCTCTTCTCCTTTCTGCCCTGGTAAATCTGCCCTTGCCAGATGGAGGCAGCGAGAGGTGTGGTGCCCGTGCCTATGTGGAGAAGATTACCGGAGAGAGCTGTCAGGGGATGTTATTTTTTAGCTGTTGTTGCCATGCAGGGACTTGCAGAGCGTTTTTTGGCCGTAGCAGTGCAACTCAAGCATATGGTCAGCTCCTGCCCATCGCAAGCAGCTTAGCTGGAGCTCATCTGAAGCAGTGGTGAAAGGTCATTGAGCAGGTCCCTCAAGGGGACAATGTGTCCTCAAGGCACAATGTCACACTGCAGAAAGCGTGAGAGAGATTGGTTTGCAGATGTTAGTGAGTTCTCTGGCAGGGGAGCAGAGGGAGAAGTCACTGAGTGGTGCTGCTCCACAGACCCTGGCAGGTACAGACAATTCTTGCGCCGAAAGTCAGGTTTTAGCTGACTGACACTGTCAATCAGTAACTGGGAATACCATTTATGGTCCAGTTTCAATTTTGGTTCAACAAAGACTTCAGAACAATTGTCCAGATTCAGTAGTGTGTCAAGAAGAATAACATCTTGAAACAGTATTCAGTTTAGGTTCAGTTTAACTTCATGCACTGAGTTTCAGTCATATCGAAAGTGAGAGCAGAAAAAATTCATATGTATTTTTGCATAGCTAAGGGAACTGGAAATGACAGAAGTAGTAACAAATCATAGTGTCATGCACCTAGAAAGCTTTTATTCCAAGCACTTTTGTAATATGCGTAAAGAAGATGAAAAAGCCATGCGCTTGAGAAGGAAATCAGTCCCAAGGGAAGTTGCTGTGAGATGGAGGTAGGACCTAAACCTACCCTCTAATTTGACCGTTTCTGTTCTTTACAGGTGCAGCACATGGGCTTTCATCAATCCTTCAGATGTTGCTTTCCTATTATGAGTACCTGCAGCCAGCAGATCAGGAGCTTGTGTGGCAGAGCGTTGATTTTCTTATGGACCAAGAACAGAACAGCAACTGGCCTCCTGAGCTGGGAGAGACAATTGAGCGGGAGAATGAGCTTGTACACTGGTGTCATGGAGCTCCAGGTTCTTTTCCCATTGATGCTATCAATAGCCAGATGCTGATCACACTGTTTTTCCACGTTAGGTGATTCCATGTAGAAGATAATCTCAGGTTAAATTTGACCAATTTTGACATTTTATGAGATGGAGGCAAACTATTTAGCTTTTTCTTCCCGTTACGAGTGTTTTATTTATCGCTGAAGCAGCTGGAAGGATAGGTGTATTTTCTACCTTAAAAGCATAGGTGATCACAGCTGAAAGAATTCTGGTGATCCTGGGCTGTATGTTTTCCACTCTTGCTCCCTTTCGTGACAAGACCTCAAAGAATGGTACAGCTGTGTCAAAAGACAGCATAAGGGTGGACAGAGAAGTAGTACGCAAAAGAACACAGATACAGAGACATCTCTGAGTTTTGGGGAGGCCTTCAGAATAGCTTTTTTCCCCCCTCATCAGAATCAAAGTTTAAGCTGCACTTGTTTCATGGATAATGCATAAATTTGACCAAAGTATTTTCATGTGAAGGGGAGTTTGTACTAGCAAGGGGCATTTTTTCTGAAAGTCACCCGTATAAAACTGCTTTTCAGAGAGGAAGAGAATCAATCCTTAGTTTGGGTTCATGAGGTAACGCTGATGTCTGTCAGTTCAGAATCTAATCCTATACATCAGCAATTTTGGCAAGCAAACCTGTATATTGAAATTGCTTTTTTACCCCCAAGCAGAATTTTATTGCTAACTAGTCATATTGGCTTGGTAGCATGAACCTAGAAGGCTACGGAAAAACTTACTTTTATTAACGAATGTCCATGAGCATTGATGCATTGCTTTTAAAGGTGTTCTATTTAAATTACAAAGAGTACATTATAATTAACATCCCTTAAATGTGCTTTCTGCTGATGCATTATCTTTTTGTTGGTATGATTAAGGAACAAGCTTCTTGCTCTCGCACTGTAATGAAGTGAAGTGAAAACAGCTTTTGCTTACCAACCTTTTTTATTTTTAAGAGGAAAAAGTTACTTCTACAGCATGGCTGGCCTAGTGATGAAACCTGCAGGGAAGATGCCCTCTTTGTTTCAGTATCTTGAGAGTGGCGTTTGACTTGGTTTTAACTGTTAGTGGAGACATATGCAGTGAGACTCAACCAAAGTGACAAAATCCCAAAGGGCATAAAGAAGTTACTTTAGGAGACATTTAGAGACATGTAAATTCATTAATTGCTATTGCTCTTCCCCAGAAAATCCTGTATCCCATCACTGTTCTTGGGTAATAACGCACATGTAGTTTACAAGAACACTTTTCAGCTACTTCAGTGTATATTATATTCAGACCACAAGTGAGCTATTCTAAACATTTCCTTAGGTGCTTGATTTGGTTATGTGTTATATGCATTCTTTTAAGGTTACCGTGAACTGAGCTGTGCAGTGCTCTGTTGAAGATTATGATTAATTTATTTGAATCCCCTCTAAAAATAAGCCAAAGAGCTGCTCCTTTTTTTTTAACAGAAGTTAGTATGCATAACTGTTTATAACTAGAATAAAGCAGCATGGGCCCCACTGAAAAAAAAGTTTCTTTTTCTCGTTCAGTAAAAAAATGTATCTGTTGCCAATGTAAGAAATTATCTTGCTCATCCTTGTGCTTCTGTCGGTGTAAATAGGTGAGGTGAATGGGGATTTGAAACCAATAGAAGGCAGTACTAAGAGTTCACTGTTTTAAAGGCAAAAATGTGACTACTGTTTTAAATTGATGAAAGACTGGGAATGTTAGAGTAAACCCTGAAATTCAGTAATGCATTGAAGAGATTGAAAGTGGTGTTGTCACAGGGGGTGGATAAGTACATCTTACCGTATGCTTTTTAGCATACCAGATACTCTCCCCTCCATATGTAGCATGTAGATATGTTACGTTGACATGTGTAGAGCTTGAGACTGCAGTCTTTTAGTGTATTAATCTTTGTTTTCTTCTGTGTTCTGTGAAACCCTTGGCCTACTTATTACAAAAGACAATCTCACTGCTGTTTTCCTAGGCATTGCATATCTGTTTGCCAAAGCTTACCTGGTTTCCAAGAAGCCTCAGTATCTGGACACTTGCATCCGCTGTGGAGAGCTAACTTGGCAGAAAGGCCTGTTGAAGAAGGGACCTGGAATATGCCATGGAGTGGCTGGTAGTGCTTATGTGTTCCTGCTGCTGTATAGGCTCACTGGAAACTCAAAATACATTTACAGGGCACAAAGGTTAGCATTCCTACCTTTCTGGATTCAGAGTAATACCGGAAAGTTTCAAGAACATTTATAAAGCTGCTCAGAGTCTGTGATCACCACCCTCTCATGTAACCTGAGTGTTTAAGCCTCAGGTGCAATTCTACCTGGGAGTTGTGGGGCAGGCGCACTCTGCGGGGAGCCCTGCAGTCCTGCTTCCAGGCTGCCTGTGGTGGGAGAACCATCGGTTTCTCCTGGGCTCCCTCCCTCCCTGCCCATGAGCCTGCGCTCCTTCGGAGGGAACCGAGGTGGATGGGGAGGAGCGGCGCACACCCGGGTCTCGTCCTGACATGAGTTCAGAACAGCCAAGTTGCGTACCCAAGTCCAGGAGCAGAGTAAAATGTGCTGCTGTTCGTTACATTGATTTGTTCTGATTTTCAGAGCATTTAACACTATCCCTTGCTACTGAACATGGAAAATAAGTATAGGACCTGCTTTGCTGTTATTTTACTGGTTTTTTTAATTTATCATTCCCAGCTTTAGCCAGTTTGACATTGTGCTATTTGGCTTAGCTAGTGGGGTTAATTCCATTTTGTCCTGATGCAAGCAAGTATATCCCACTGAAAATTCTGTCACAGTGCTGCAATTATCTTCAATTTTATTTCTGTAATTTACTATACATGTTTAAAAAGATAGTACTCAATGTCTGTTACTGTTTTCCTTACAGCATAGCTTAATGAGGGGAAGTGGTATAGAAATTAGGGTGACTTATTTTCAGCCATTTGCTTTGAAGCGAGAACATTTTATTTGTGTAGTTATTTCAGCATTACAGAACTTGTTGCATCGATGTGAAATGTGGCTTGCATCCTGCTGAAATAACAACCAAGATAAAAGTTATTAAAAAGTATTTGTTTAATAATATGTCTCATAGACATCAGAAAAAGTTTATAGCTCTCAAAGAAGCATAACACATGTACAGATCGCAAAGGTTTGGCTTTTCTAGATCTCATGGACCTCAGTTTATTGTGGAAATCAGAGAATTAAATTTCCACATAAGGTAAAATAATGAACATTCTACTTTTTTTTAATCATTGAATGTTATTAAAACGATGCTTTCAAACAACAAGTAAGTAGACATACAAGGACACCAAACAATAACAAACTCTCTTTTTTTTTTTCCCCTGTTTCTTAGGTTTGCAGAGTTCTTATTTACAGAAGAATTTAAGGCTGGTTCCCGAGCATTAGAAAGTGTATATAGTCTGTATGAAGGCTTCTCGGGAACTGTGTGTTTCCTGACTGACTTGCTGCAACCCAACCAAGCCGAGTTTCCTCTCTTCAGTGTCTTTGTCTAGAGAGTAACGTTCTCCGGGGCTGCATCCTGGTGGCGATGGGAGAGGGCACCTGCGGTTTCACTTATTTGTCAAGAAGAGGCTATTTACAAAACAAGCCAGTGGTACCACTAATGCTAGCCTTAACGTAGCTGGGAGTCAGGTGAAAAAGAAAATACCCTGGGGCTTTGGGAGGGACGTGTGTGGTCAAAAAAAATGGGTCAGTGAAAAAAATAATGGGGGAAGTGATTGAATCTGATGTGGTAGATATTTAGCTGTAATAAGAAGCAAAATCTAATTATTCAAGTGAGAGAGAAAGGGGCATTATCAAACTTTTAATTTGGTGGTTACACAGAAGAAAAAAAAGGCAAACTAGAATTACAGGGACACGCAAAGAAGAAACAGTGGTGCATCCAGTAGGTTTTAAAAAGACACCTGCAAAGACAAGTCTTCATGCAGTGATGCACTTATCGGGGAGGGTGTCGTAGACATGTCACTACACTGCACAAAGGCAAAATCTGGGATTTTTTACCTAAACCACATCTACTAGTTCTAGTAACATGTATTAGAAATACCTGTATCTTGGAGCTCTTTCATCTTCATATGCATATAATGATAGTTGTCGATAGCTATATATTCAGCCTGCAGTTTCGCTGGTTCCTTTCAGCTAGTGGGGTTTCATGTGTGTGAATGAGAACTGAATTTGACCCTTCCTTTCAGAGCTCAGTCTGTGGCGAGGAGCTGGTCTCCTTACTGATTTACTGTTACCGTGCCACTTCTTGTCAATACTGTCCCTGTCACAGGGAAGATGAGTGGAGCCATGGAGACGACTTGGATTGAAAAGTTCTATAGCAAAGATACAGCAGGCAGATGCTTTCTTCACGGTACAGCATTGCTAGATAAGTATTGTTCAGTGACACAAAAGCTTCCTTTAAAACTTAATTACTTATAGCAGCATTTCTGAACAATAACATACATATTTCAGAGAATAGAAAATCTGTTTTCCTTGATGAATTGTTCACTGCAAACCCTGCAATCTGAATGCAAACCTTGGATGGCATACTGATCTTAAGAAAAACCTGATAACAAAACTCAAAATTGCTTCTCTTCCCAGTTAACAAAATAGTGCATATGCCCAAATGATTTGTAGCTATAGAAATAAATGGGTTACTCAACACTAGTTGCACTAGCACTTAAGGTTGCAATTATATGCTGGTTTATATGTTTTATATATATGACATGGTACTTGAAAGCTAAAGAAAATGCTAACGTAGATTTGTACTAAAAAAACTATAAAATCAATATCTGTATTTAAAAATATATTTACTATTTATTTATTTTTATTTATATGGGAATAATGTAATGCAATTACCTTTAAAGACAGATTGGGAAGACCAGTATGTCAAAAATTGCAGTTAGGGTGAAAAAGCTGACCTACATGCACTTCCAAACAATGCAGTCTGTCTTCCTGTCTTCCCAGCTGGAGGAGATTACAGTTTCTTTATTTTTAATGCCTAATGGATGAAAGTTCCCATTTAATTTCAGTGGGTCTTGATCAGGCTATAAGTTGGAGCCAGGTCTTGCAATCCTTCCGCATTTTAATACAGTAATCCCATTCCTACTCTCGCCACTTATTTTAATGAGATGGCTTGCATTATTATGAGCTGCAGATTAGGATTTCTGCTATTTTGTCTTGCACTGTGCAGCTCTAATTACTTAATCATAGAAGTAACCATATTTAATTGGTCAATAAAGCAATGCAGTTCTGTATCAGTTTGTCAAGAGCTTAGGGATTTTTTGGTGAATGGAAATGTTAAAATTCAATACACAGTTATTATGTGTTTATTATTTGTGGGATAAAACGTCTTTTAAGAAAGCCATTAATGTTACTTTGTTATGCTGAGCAGTGAGATGCATACACATAGGAGGATGTTTCACAGGGAGGTACACATGTGAGGCTAAATTAAAAAGTCAATGGAGATGTGTGCGTGCTCTGCCCAGCCATGTTTAAATGCTCCTGTTAGATCAGAGCAAAGTCAATTGTCAGTAGTGAAGATCCCAAGTCCATTAGGATTCTTCTCTAGTTGTTTCGTGTAATGCGGGTGTCTAATATATATATCATAACTGGAACTTTTTAGACAGATGTTTAAGGAAGGTAAAACTTGGTGTATCCACTTTTTCCCTGTGGTCAATAGCTTTTCAGTCCAAATTTTTATTGTAGGGTAATGTCACTCAGCTAAAACATGTAAGTAACAACATTTTTGCCATAGCATTTAGATAGCTACTGTAACTGTGTTCTATCTTACTGTAAGACAGAGAAATAGGTTTTGCTATGATCTGGACTCAAGCTGTTGCAATCCTGCATTTATTGTCAATCATTTTTTTCAGAGATGCAAACATAAAACAAAAAGGCTTAGTGTTTTGATAACTACACAGTCAAAAAACCCCAAACAACTCCAAACTTAAGCCTTAACAGAATCTACGCATATCAGCATAGTAATCACAACCTCTAGATTTTGTCCCCAGTGCTTACTTTCTAATTATCACTGGGCCACAATATTTAATTGTTTCCAGTTAGTTATTTCTCAGGAGATGCTTGAAGAAGAAAATCTTTGCCAAAACCTTAATAAATCTAGAGCACAAAAACTCAGTACAGTAACTTAGATCCTAAGTAAGTCGTGAATGCTGATATTGTAACATATACCACATATATGTTAAAATTTACCATAATAGGTATAAATAAAATCACTCCATTTTATTATGCTTAACTTCTAACAATCGTGTTTGCATTGATCTTTTAATACAATTCTTCATAAATGGCAGGAAATATACGTTAAGAATTCAGTGTCAGTTTTCTGGTGGCTTTCCCTCAGTGTCTCTTTGTAGAATTAATTCCTTCTGATTTACATTCAGAGGAGACTCCGCTCCGCTCTGCGTTGTGTTCAACAGCACCCACAAAACAATCTTCTGTCTCTGCAGCCCTTCTCCATACATGAAGCCATGTGTTTGGCTTCATTTGATACTAATCCTGTGAGAAAGGAAATAGTTATGTGAGTAAGAGTTAGTCCATTCAACAATGAGAAAACCCATGCAACCACCCAGTTTTCAAAATCTAGGTCCCAAACATCTCTCTGCAAGTTACGGGAGTTCGGCGCTGACTTCAGCAAGGGCAGCATGCAAACTTCGTTTACTGACCCTTAAGATCAGTAACAGTAACGTGAACATTCAGTCTCATGGGATACATCTTGTACAGTCTTGGAACATAATTATTCATCTGTTTCATCAGTCATGGCACTTTGAGCTCATTCTTAGAGCTTCGTGGCTTTTCTTACCTGACCTAGCTGGGTTAAGGTGGCTACTAGACATGCCGTAGTCACAGCTTCTGAACACAGTGTAAATACACCCCAGGGCTCTTCCGAAAAAGCCAATCATTAAATGAGCAGGGTTTTTTCATCTTTTCCCTCCTCTTAATTGTCTATCTGCTTTTTTTGCTTTGTACTATATATGCTGTTACATACATGCTGTTGCAGCCTTTATTTGTTGCTTTTAAGACATGGGCAGGAAAGCAACCTGAGCAGAGCCATCAGCACTTTTCAATGTAATAAAAAAATAAGGTCCTTTGTGTTCCCTCCTTACTGCTTCAAGAAATCGATCGTGCAACCTTTGCTAGACGTTCTCAGCTGGACGCTGTCTCCTCCTGCTCCCACA